TGGCTTTGACCAAAGAAATCAAAATAAATCTCAAATATCAAAGTACAATATTTTGAACTCACCTAAGGAATATCAAACAGTCCCAATAACCTGCTCCACAATTTGGAAACATAGGAACAATGCAAAAAAGGATGACCCATACTTTCCTCCCCTCCTTTAAACATAGAACACTATTGTGGTAATAGACAAAATGAAGGAGTTCTTTTTTGTAGCACATCATTGACATTGAGTCTCTTATGTGCAAGCAACCAAGCAAAAACTTGTACCTATAAAGGAGCCTTAGACGTCCAAATTATTAACGACAATTGAAATTGCGTTGCAAGACTTATCAATCAAGGCCTCAAAAAGAGATCAACAAGAAAATTCTCCCGAAAAAGAAATGATTCACTTTCTTCGGTCTAAAGACAAAATTCAAGACAACATTATCAAGGATACCCGAAAGTGAAGACATCTCAGCAATCTCTCTCTTATTAAGGTTTGTAAAGAAATTAAAGCTCCAAATGAAATATGACAATGTCATACTTGAAATAGAGGAGTTATGATTTTTAGACGGTCTATATAATCGAGGAAACATGGATGCAAAGGAAAAAACAAACCCCCCAAATATCCAAAGTAAAAGTTATATACAAAATAGGTACATAAATAAAAGAGAAAGATTAAAAGAAAAACTACAAGGCTAACAAAAAAGACACAATAGCAAAAACTCAAACCTAAACTATCAGCACACACTTGTGACCCGTGATCCTTAATCAAAGAGAAATGTATTCCTTCAAAATCCTTCATTGCGGTAATCCAAAGAGAAGCCATGAAAGTAATTTTATCCCATAAAATCTTCCCAAGAAGTTTCTCGCTCTTCAAAAATTCGTCTGTTTCTTTCCAACCACAACACCTAAAACAAGGCTAACCCAAAGCAAGACCCCTTTTACTTTTGGATCAAGATACCAAGTCTCATCTCCCCAAATGATTCCTCTTGCCTTCACCACTACCCTCCCATAAGAAATCCCTCATCATCTTCTCTATCATTTTCACCTTCAAAGGCATCCTAAATAGAGAAATATAATAAAGAGGAATGCTATGACGCACTAAATGAATTAAAGTGATTCTACCTCCCCTAGACAAATATGCTTTCGTCCACCCATCTAACATTTTTCCAATCATTTAGATCACCAGCTCCCAAAAACTTAAGGAATTTGGGTTATCCCCTAAAGGTAAATCCAAATACTCAAAGTGGCCATTCCGAAATAAAGCATCCAAAAGTTTCAGCCAGTCTAACTAACGTGTCATGTTGTACATTAATTCCTCCAATTGTACTCTTAGACACTTTCAGTTTCAAACCTAATACCAACTCAAAACATCTCAAGATTAGAGAACATTTCTTAATATTCTTTTCAAGTTCACCACCAAAAAAAAAAAAAAAATAGTATCATTCTTAAACTATAAATGAGTCACTTCTACTATTTCCCATCCAACTTTAAAATCTTCCACCTCCCCTCCACAACTAGTCAAATCCACCATCTCATTCAACACATCCACCACTATAGTGAAAAGAAAGGAAGAAAAATGATCTCCGTGTCTAGGACCTCTAGCAGCTTCGAAGCACCCTTTTGAAGCCCCATTAACAATAATCAATAAATTCTTCGATTTCAACCAACTCTTCATCCACTTTCTCTATCTTGAACCAAATCATTTGCATTCAATCAAGGATCAAAATTTCGTTTCGAAGTACCGTTTCGGTCAACTCAAAAATAGAAACGTTTCGGAAACATTTCGGAAACGCAATGGAAACGCAGAAAAAATATGGAAACGCATAGAAACACAAATGCAATCCATTAATTTATAAAGATATGCTAAATAATTTATTAATTCAACATATTTATTAGGTTAACATCAATTTATACAAGAATAAATTTAAATTTGAGGGAAAAAAAGGCTTGACTTGAGGCGAAAGTCACTTAAATTAGTTTCAAACACTTAATTTTTATGAAATAAACACATTTTTACATAATATTAAGGTCTTATAATACACATGAAATGCTAATGAGTACATACTTACATGGTTACATCCATTCCCCTGTGGAGTGTCGAGCAGGCTCATACATCGGTGTAGGCTCTGGGTAGCTACTTAGAGAAACTCCATATGTGACATAAATATGATGACAATAGTTACTCCAAATCATATTATTACGGTAATATTATCCAATTAATAATACTATTTTATTATAATACTAATAATGAAGGGTATCAAATTAAATTAATGATACTTATGTATACTTAAAAATTAAATGTAATTGCAGTGGGTATTAAATGTAATTACAGTAGGTATTAAATATAATTACATTAGGGTATTAAATGTAATTGTTAATACTTATAACAAAAAAAAAAGCAAAAAACTTGCACAGCAGTGAGGTATTAAATATAATTACAGTATGTATTAAATATAATTATAATGGGTATTAAATATAATTATAGTAGGGTATTAAGTGTAATTATTTATTCTTATAACAAAAAAATTATAAAAGACAGAAGAGCAGTGGGAATAAATGTAATTATAGTGGGATATTAAATATAATTATAGTGAGTATTAAATGTAATTACAGTGGGTATTAAATGTAATTATAATGGGGTATTAAATATAATTATTCATAATGAACCGAATATATCACTGTTTTGTCGAAACGGTTCGAAACAATGCCGTTTCGACCGAAACGGTCCGAAACAGTACCGTTTCGACCAAACACTGGAATTTTGTGATTCAACTACTGTTTCGTTTCGGAGTGTTGAAATTCCGAAACGTTTCGGATGTTTCGGACGTGTCGACACGACATTTTGATCCTTGCATTCAATAACATAAATCAAAAAATCTCAATCTACCAAATCATAAGCTTTTTCAAAATCCACCTTAAAAATAATCTCCTCTTTCTTCTTTTCCTTGAACTCCTCAACATTCTTATTAGCAACAAGTATCACATCCAAAATTTGTCTTCCCCTAACAAATGCTCTTTGAGAATTAAAAATGGTTTCCTCCAAAATCTCACGAAGTCTTCTCGAAAGTACTTTAGTCAAAACTTCATATAAACCGGTCACTAAGCTAATGGACTAAAAACCCTTTATCCTCAAAGACCTTTCTTTTTTAGGAATAAGACAAATAAAAGTGACATTTGTAGATGAATTCACAATTACATTCTAAAAAATTCAACAAAAACTTTCACCAAACCCCCTTGTATTACCTCCCAGCACTTTTAAAAAGCTGTTATAGTATACCCATCCGAACCCGGTGGTTTATCTCTACTTAACTCAAAGACTACATCTTTAATTCAAACTTACTCTCTCCAATGGGATGTCAATCCAGGCCCTCTATGATCGCCTTTGAGAACCTTTTGATGAATACAATTTAGAGAAAAAAGCCACAATCTCAATAGTTATTAAATTATCATCCTCAATTATCTCCCCCGACTCTAATTCAATTCTAGTAATCAATTTCTTTTTCAATTTTCCATTTGTTATTCTATGAAACAAATTAGAATTCTCATCATCCTCCTTCACCCACTTAACTTTCACTTTTGTCTCTAACTAGTTTCCTCTTTCAAAAACACATATTCAAACTTATTTCAAATAAAACACCTTTCCCTCCTTACACCATCTTCAATGCCACTTAAAGATTCTAACAACTCAATATCATAAATTCTTTTCAATATATTTTCATTCTCCATTCTAAGATCACCAAACACACTTCTATTCCATTCTTTCAATTTTTGCTTCACCAAATTTAGTTTTTCTATAAATATGAATCCTTCCAAACCCTCCACTACAGTCTCACCCCACCAGTCCTCAAAATTTCTTGCAAAAGAGTGATGTTCAACCCACATGTTCTCAAACCTGAAAGGCGTCGAACCCCACTTTACAACTGAAGTATCAAGGGACTATGGATAATGATCAGATATAGCTCTAACAAAAATCTCTTGTCTCACTGAGGGGAAAAGCTCCTCCCAAAAAAGAATCCTATCCAGACTGCTACAAATCAAATTTTCCTAAAAATTAGACCATGTGAAATTAGCATTTAACAAGGGAGCATCAATTAAGTTGCATTCTCGAATAAAACCATCAAGCTTTCTCATACTAGTAGTACTCTTACAACCATTCACCCTTTCCAACACAAATCTAACAACATTGAAATCCCCCCCCCCCAAAAAAAAAACAAAAAGAATCCACCTCAAACCACACAAGCCAAAAATGTCAAAAAAGCTCATCCCAAAAAAATTCTCATTCTAGGTTTTTTCGGCCCATACACACCAATTAACCACCAATCAACATCTTCCACACCCTTAAAATTAACAGACACTAAAAGCTTCCTAGAACAACCTCCACACCTTTCAAAACTCTTTCATCCCACATAATTAACACTCCCCCAGACCTACCACAGGATGGAAAGAAAGCTCATTCCCTATGCCGCAAACCCAACAACAAGAGAATTGCTACTTAAAAAAGGGCAAAAAAGTACTTTAAAAAAGGGTGTTCCACGGTACCTTAAACTATGTGAAGTCCACACACATGTTCCATGTCTTTGTAGAGTGGAAAAACTCGGATAACAGTCATGGAGAATATTTGTGCAGAAAATATCTTACGTAAAGGGTTTTGAGACAAGACATCTTGTTGTATATAGCTTCGAGGCTTTGACCGATGAAGATATACTAATGTGTGTGTGTGTGGGCATGCTTATGAATGCTCAGAACAGAAAAGTAGACCTACATATCTTCTGATCGGTAGATGTGCATGAATATTGCATAAATAATGGTAATTGCTAACGAAAGTTCTTCCTTATTTTTTGTGCACTATCAGTGATCAGGCTAAAAACAGCAACACCTCACCTTTTCCTGCACTTTCTTAAACAATTTAGATATTGTAGCTTGAACAAGAGAACCCTGATTACTGTGAGAGAGTCCCATAGATTTGGTTGCTTGACTAGGAGCTTCCTCAATTGGTTCTGAAATTAGAGTGTGATCCTCAGTATCCTCATCATCAGTTCCTATGATCACAGGGTGGGAATTTTCATTCTGTAATAACTATTAAGGGGATCAACATACAGCTGCTGAAACAGTTAGGCATATATGATTGGAGAAAAGAACAAGTGAGCTTATAAAAATCAAGTCTGAGGGATGACCTAGTTGGCAAGGGGTCATGTTTCCCAAGGTCAAATCTAGGTTCAAGCCTAACCTTCACCCTCAACCCAATAATAATGTAAGGTGAAGTTCTTTGTACCCCAAAAATTTAAGAAAATAAAAGGCTTATAAAAATTAAATATGTCTCCAATGCAGAGCATTATCAAGATAATAAAATTAGGATATTTCCAGGAGTATGATTCCGAGCTTGATGTTCCAACCCAACTTCTTGTTCCTCTCCTTCAGATGTTCCGGAATCATTTTCAACAGAATCATTTCCAGAAAAAGATTCTGCAAAACTGAACCAAGAAAAAGCCCTGAGAAAACTGATCACTATAATTTTAACAAAAACTATGCAAATTAAGAAACAGAAAAAGGATACAAGGCACCACAGACAAATATCTTGTCACCCTCTTCCTTTCAGTTTTGCTCCACCAAAAAGAACTCATTGGGTTCTTCTCACCCAACCACTAATTGAATTTGGAGTCCTGTGTTTTTTTTTTTTTTTTTTTTTTTTGGGGGGGGGGGGGGGTGGGGGACAAGACTATACACTTGTTATTTAGAACTCTTACACTCCATGAACAGCAAGTGTCACAACCACTAACATACAATTATGAATGCACACATAGGTTTCTTATGAGCCGCATGGACATGATTCGTGCACGTCGATGCTCATTTTAAATTGTCGCCACACCTGCATGATACAGGCTTCGTATTTGTATATTCGAAAGTGCTAGAAAACCAGCATCATATGTCAACATGGGTATATTGCACTACAATAATATTACTACACAAACAACAAAAAAAAACAATCTGATGCAGACCAACGGAATGCAGGACAGTGCACTCCATACTAATGCAGCATAAGGTAAGGAATTCATTCTTAATTCTAGAAAGAAAAAAGGTTCTGCACAAACTGTCAACCAAGTAACCAAAATAACTGGATCCATCACATCAAGTATAGAATGCATTTTATAGTTCACACACCAAAAAAAAAGAGAGAGAGAGAGAGCCTAAGAGGCCCAAGGGAAAGAAGATATTACATTAAAAAAAAGGTCAGTCTGAAGTATCAAACCTGCTAAGGACATAACCAGTTTGGAAATTCTAGAACATTTCAAGGTTTATCATTAAACTTAGTCTAAAACATAGTAAAGGGTTAAGGCTAGTGTTGACTTGGTAGTTTAATTTTAGGGCTGTAGAGTGGACCAGCATGGTGGAATAGTTTATGACAGCTAGTTCTGCATGATGGTAAGACTAAAAGTTATTGTGGTAATGATAGAAGTCCACATCTGTCTTAGTTGGCCATAATGTTCCCCTGGCCACCAAGTTGTAGCGGCGAAGCTAGAGCCAACATTGATAATTTGATATATTTTCTTTTTTTTAATATTTGGTAAGTGGTGTACTCGCTGTCTTTGCATAGTNTAATTTGATATATTTTCTTTTTTTTAATATTTGGTAAGTGGTGTACTCGCTGTCTTTGCATAGTGAATGAAGAATCCTTCAAAACATATTGCTTGTGTGATGCATCTTCCCCTGTATGTGATTGACAACGAAAATAAGTATGCTTGTGTAGGCTCTTTCATCTTTTATTCCTTTCTTCTTTGTATCATTATTTAGTAGAAGATGTGTGATGAATTTTCTCTTGGCTGCAAATGCCTAAAAGCCAGCATATAATTTGCTTTAGCGCTTCTCCCCTATTCCTTTATTTTTTTCATACTCCAATATAGGTTGTCGTGCATCAAAAGCAATCTACAGTGATACCACAAACTAAGATCATTCCATATCTTTTGGCAGTAAGAACTTAAATTTTAAATTAGCCAGGAAAAGGGTATGAAATATTCAACTAAAAAAAATAAGTAATTACTTAAATGTTTTTCCTGCAGTCCTTGCTGAATGACGAGTTGGAGTCACTTCAGTTAAATCTTTCAATTTATTTTGACTGTCCGATAAATCATCCTCTGACTCGGTTTTAGGGGACTCTGGTTCCGTACATGTCATTCCAGGCTTACTAAAACCTTGCTTTCTTTCACAAGTTGCACCTGCACCGCCTTTAAAATCATAGCCTTCAGGTTTTCCCTGGGACCAACAAGACATTGAGAAGTATGTCAGCAATATTTACTATATATTTGATGATAAATATACAACTTTGACAAACAGACAAGCAGCCAAGTGGAACTACTTTACAGGGATACTAACTACATTCAGCTCCTTAGGAAACTCAAGACGGACTTCTTCTGGATTCTCATCTTTTCTCCCAATCCACCACGCATCGGAAAAAACAATCTGTAAAGTCAAGAAGCTCATTATGATATATGATCATTGTCACGTCACAAAAAATAAAGGCGAAAAACATAAGAATGTAAATAAGTGCTTGTGAATAACTGACTGTAATTTGGACGATAAGAGAAGATATAAAAGGAAAGAAATCAAACTCAGAGATGGTCAAGGTTGTCAAACTAGGTTCAAAAACATAATTGGAAAGAGATGTGAAAGAAATGCCATTACCAAGACAGTAGCAATTTCTAAGCAAAATTAAAAACTAACAATAGAAGTAACTTATACACATTGAACAGTTCTGATATTTAGTATAACAAACAAAACAGAAGGAACTATTCAACTAAAAACAAGCAATTAATCTTCCATTCTACAAAAATGAAATATGAAACATCGATAAGAATTGTTTGTTGGAGACTAAAGTCATAATTGCAAGCAATGGCCTCTTTAATTACATTCTTCCCATAAAATTTTGCTTTTTATGTTACGATTAAATATTAAATTCAATCACATTTCATAATGGAAAGGAGGAAAATTTTATCTAATAGTAACTAAAGCACAGGACTTAGTAGTACCTCTAAGATACTAATGGTTCATTTGGAATTGTCATCCCAGAAAGTTCTTATTCATTATTGGCATTTGGCACTTATTCTTGTCTTGCCCCACAATGGTGCATGATGTGCAAGTGTTCCAGTGAAAGTGTGGATCATCGCTTTCTACATTGTCCGGTTGCTCGAAGGTAGTGGTTTAGAGCTTATAGTGAATTTAATTTGAGCAGGGTCATTCCAAAACAATGTGATTCATTGTTCGGAAGAATCAGAACAAATAGAAGTGTGTTTGGGAAGGGAAGAAGAGAATTTATTTCGTGGGAATGTGTGTTTATGGCAATCTTTTGGGTGGTATGGTTGGAAAGAAATAGGAGAATTTTCGAAGTTAAGGAGGAATTTGTGGAGTTCCTTTCGGAGAGAGTTAAGTTATTGGCGTCCCTATGGGCATTAACCGCTAAAGAATTCAAGAATGTGTCATTTTTCTCTCTTACAATTGACTGGAAGGCAGCGTGTAGTAAGATGAATAGCTCATTTAATTTATAGAGCTTATATTGTAACCTGCTTTATTGTAGGGTGGACTTCTTGTTCACCTTTATGTTCTATATTTCACTATTAATGAAAGATTTGTTTCTTATCAGAAAAAAAAAAAAAAAATTTGCATTTGGCACTTCATATTCTTCATCTTTACCATTTTTTCAACGTCAAATTTAAAACACTTAATAATGCCAACTAATGGGGATCGAAAAGATGTTGGAATTTATTTTGGTAATTAGGATTTATTTTAGAACTTGAACTTACTGGGCTTATTCTGGTAATCAAGATTTATTGGGTTTAATTTGTTTAACTAAGAAATATTTACTGGAGTTGGGAGTGTTTTTATAATATAAGTAGTCAAAGTTTTTTTAGGAAAGTAATTTAGGTTTTAGTAGAAGACTAAAATTATAAATATTGTTGTAACCCTATATTTTTCATCAGAGGGAAGTTTATTGAGAATTTGAGTGTTTATTGTGTGCTTCTTGGAATAATCGTTAAGAGGGTCTGGTAAATCTCTTCTCTCCCCTTTTGTGTTTCTCTTCTCCTCACGGATCTACATCAATTAGTATCAGAGCGAAACTTCGATTTGCCACTGCCTCTGCCAACTCAACATCTTCTGACCGTGCTTCCATTATAGTCCATCTTCATCGTCATCTGAGCAACAGGTGCTGCAACACTAAGAATACACTTCCCCGCCATTATTCAAATGCCTCACAAGAAAATCACTGCTCCGCATTTGCTTCGTATTTGACATCAACTCTGCAGCACAATTCACAAAGACCAATCACCATTGCCAAAATCCTCTTTTGCAGTCATCACAATTCACAATTGCTCCACTACTCACATTTGCCTCCGCACTCCTATTTTTAAAATAATTGACCCCCGAGTTCAGTAAAACTCGAAAATCAACTCCAAATATTTTCAAAATTCTATAGTAGCCCGAAATCTTCAAAAATTCTTAACAAGCCCCAAAATTTTCAAAAATTATAAGATCAATCCCCCCATCATGACACTGACCAAAGCCAAATTTAGTGCAAGAATATAGGCTTCATAACAAAAACATTGTGATAAGCCTCATTATGTTCACCCTTATAAGCAAAGTTGTTAGTATCGTACGATACGCGATACGTATCGTACGATACGTTACGATACAGCCCTAAAACGATACGGATCGTAGTTATGTATCGTTTTTGCGTTGTATCGTCCGATACACGATACGTTTTTACGATACGATACGTTTCGGTACGATACGCACGATACGTGCAATTTTTTTTTTTTTTTTTTAAAAACGACGTCGTTTTGTGATCTGATTTTTTTTTTAAAAAAACGACAAGTGAAGACTTGTTGGCATCCGATCACAATGATGATGATGATGATGCATTTTCAATTGAAATTGAAGATTGAGTTCAAAATGGATGTTAGAAATTTGGATTAGAAGTCTCTTTGGTGTTTAAAGTTTGAATTAGTGAACTATGGTTGTGAACTTTGCATTATAATAGTAGTGGATTATGTTGATAACTTGAATAGTTGGTGGAGTATTAATGAAATGCTATATTTTTTATGAGTGTATGACTTTTTTTCAAAGGTATATATATTTTTTTATTATTTATTTAAAATTGCATCGTATCTTACGATACACGATACGATACACGATACGATACAATATTTGTATCTTACGATACGCCTTCCGATACACGATTTGATAACTATGCTTATAAGGGTGGGAATCTAACCAAATTGGGCTTTGTAATTCTAACTATGACCAACCTTAACTTCTAACGATAATCGTATAACTACATATCGCGATCTAATTTGAACTAAGGGAAAAGAATGGCACATCCTTGAATTCTTCAGAAAAATAAACCCAAAAGGAGACCAAGAACTTCACATGGTCCTACAAAAACTTGGCATATTCTTCCTTCCTATCAAAAATTCTTTTATTCCTTTCATCTGTACCAACCAAATTATTGCCACTAAAGCCTTACATCCCCTCCCAAAAACACCATGATCAATCTCAAATAAAGAAACACAATGTCCAGGAGTTACTTGAAGTTGGGTAACTCACTTGAATTGATCAAAATCATCCAAATGTCAAATCCAGCAGCCTTCTCCTCTGACCACACTATCACATCCAAATACTCAGTGGAGTTGGGGAGAGAGTTGGCATTTTCAAATTTTGTTTTGCATTTCCATTTACCAACAATTTTTTGCAATAGCTTATTTGTAATTGCACAAGTGAAAAACAGATAGGCCCAAATACTCCTAGTAGCCGAAAAATCACACAACTCGCTGAAGAATACCAAACATAAGAGCTCATTATTATACACTCAACTCATCTCGAATTGCTGACCAAAGAACACATTACTACCAAAGAAATAACTTTGAAAACCAAACTAAACGATGGCATGGGACACCAAAGGGCCTTTGGTCTAATGGTACTCCTTACCTTGTGAAAGTTTTATTTTCTTGAACTTAAAGATTTAAGTCCCCCTCCCCTCCCCCCTCTTCCCCCCAAAAAAAAATAATGTCATGGGACCATAGCCATCTTAACTCTTAAGTGCTTCTCAGGTCAACATTGCATTATAAACATTATCAGGAACAAAAAGTCATTTTAGCTTGTCTTCAAAATCAAGATTAGAATGAAAGCATGAAAATGAGAAAGGATAGAATCTCTCATGTCCATTAGATCAATAGAATAAGCAATTGGCCAGTTTCATCCACCCCAATTATTAGACAACTAAGCATTGTATATCAAGGGAAAAATGAGTCATGAATGTTTCTTTCTCCCTGTTGGAGTATAATCTAGTTTATTAGGGTTGCTTTTTCCTTTTTTACCCTTACTTTGACTTTATATTTTTGCCTAGACCACAAGAATGTTTAAGTTACTTTGTATTATTATTTGACTATATATATAGGGGGCTCTACTCTTAATTAGAGTATCCCTTTCACTTACAATTATCTCAAATTGGTATCAGAGCCTAACCCTAGCCCCCCGCCAAACATCAACACACAGCCTGCAACAACAAACCGACTGCCAAACCATACCCAACAGCACCGAAACATCCTACCCACCACTCATAACTATCTCAAGTTGCTACAAACCAGAATCCCAGCATCCCAACTACATACTTCAACATCCCAGTCAATAGCCCACCCCCGACAAACCAGCCTACCACTGACAAATCACCCCAGCACCGACAAACCAGCCCACCACTGACATCCTTTCACTCGACTGCAACCTCAGCATTAAACCTTAACTCCCAGGAAACATACCCCTGTTGCACACCAACACTGACACCATTAAACCCACACCGACACCATATACCTCTGCCCATCTTTTTCAGCCCATCCACATATACTGACCAGCAATCCAATATACCTCCACTCCACCACTGACCAAACATATACCCAGTCAAAACCCAAAACAGCCCACTCATCAGCCTACTGCTGGGTCAGTCCAGACTAGCCCAACAACCCAGCCACCCAATAAACCGAATTCCTACTATTGGGTCATTGTCTAGCCCATTGTTGGGTCGCGTTTTTTGTTGTGGCTTCGTCCTAGGATTTTTTTAGGAGGGAGCGGATCCTCTTCTCCGGTGATTTGCTTTTGATGCAATAGATCACTTATTTATCTTTATTGAATTTCTAGACACCGTGATCTGATTATTTGAGAGCTTTCTGGACCTTCTTTATCTGTCGCTATTGTACGACTGGAGGTATATTATTCTCCTTTATTTTGTCCCTCTAATTATCTTAGAACTTTTTTTCTGTCACGGGTGCCCACATCTAAACCTGAAGCTTATTGCTAAAACTGAGGAGTTAAGAGATCCGACTATGTATCAGAAGTTGGTAGGTAGACTTATCTACCTAGCCAACACTTGGTCAGACATTTTATTCGCTGTCAGCTGAGTTAGTCAGTTCATGCACAGGCCCTATCAGCCTCATCTTGATGCAGTTTGTCATATTCTTCGGTACCTCAAGTCTTGTCCTGGACTTGGGTTGTTCTATGTATCAGGATCTCAGACTGGTTCTCTAGCCTATTATTCAGATTCAGATTATAGGGAAGCATGTGACGGTCGATCTACTACGGGCTTCTGTGCTTTTCGAGGGACTCATCTTTTCTCTTGAAAAAGCAAAAAGCAGGCAGTTGTCTCTCGTTCGTCAGCAGAGGCAGAGTATCGGGCACTGACACTTGGCACATGTAAGATTATCTTGCTACGATCGATTCTTGGCGAGTTGGGATTTCCAGTGACTTCTTCATCTACATTATATTGTGATAATCGATCTGCTATTCAGCTCGCTTCTGACGCTGTATTACATAAGAGGACGAAACATATAGAAATCGATGTTCACTTTTTTCGGGAGAAGGTTCGTTGTCGTATTGTCACTCTATTGTTTGTGGGGACCAGTGATCAGGTTGCAAATGTTTTCACCAAACCTGTCACTCCATCTATTCTCCGAGACTCAGTTGTCAAGCTTGGCTTAGTTGATATTTTTGCACCTAACTTGAGGGGGAGTGTTGGAGTATAATCTAGTTTATTAGGGTTGCTTTTCCTTTTTTTACCCTTACTATGACTTTATATTTTTGCCTAGACCACAAGAATGTTTAAGTCACTTTATATTATTATTTGACTATATATATAAGGGGCTCTGCTGTTAGTTTGAGTATCCTTTTCACTTACAATTATCTCAAGTCCCCCCATTTCACAGCAACAGGTTTCTAGCAAGCACAGTGGACAGCTCATTAACGATCAAGATGGAATGGAACACCTAATCAATTATTAAGCACCTAATGTTTCTTTCCCCATTAACAGTAAGGTCTAATTGTTTGGAGCTTCCCACCAAGACAATTGATGGAACATCAGAGATAAGAACATCAAAGCCCTCTAAGGCCACCGACTCTCAAAAGTGACTTTCAAGAGAGCAAATCTCCACCCATCATGACAAATAGATTATGCATCTCACCAATGTACTTTATATCCAAAAAGAGAGTCTAAACACTTTAGAATTGCCTACCTTGTTCAATTTTAGTCCTATCTCAGAAGGAGGAACTTTCTCCAGCCTATTATTTATACACTAGGAAACGAAAAATGCAATTTTCTATCAACCCAAGATTATCTATCACAGAATCTTAAATCCAATCATTCCCAGCAACCTTTTTCATCTTTCATAATAAATCACATGATTCTCAGCAACCTTAAGATGCATCGCTAAATGATTTTCAATAAGGCTAACAATGAAACGTACATAAGAAGCAAGATCGCTCAAAAAAATCTGCTGCCTGTGCTTATATTCCAACATCCAGCTCTTACAAGGATCTATCAGAGAATCTTAAAGCCTATCATTCCCAGCAACCTTTTTTCCATTTTTCGTAAGAAATCACATGACTCTCAGCAACCTTAAGATGCATCACTAAATGATTTTCAACAAGGTTAATGAAGAAACATGCATAAGAAGCAAAATCGCTCTTAAAGATGCTGCCTGTGCTTATATTCCACCATCCAGCTCTTAAAGGTATTAACTGGCAGAAACTCAACTTTATAACCGATTAGTTTCAGCTAGGAAAAAAATTTGGTTTTCCAGCATCCAAAAAAAAAGGAATAAGAGTCCCAATATGAATAGGAAGCTTATTCAATCTTTCCAACCAGAATCAGCATTAGCTATATTGTTCTGTTCATGCCTATGTGATGAGCTGATTGACGAATCTAGGGGATATGCAACAACGGAGAGCTGGGTCAAGACAAGAGTTGATAACAATGGACAAAGGTCCAGATACACCTTTTGTAATTTAAGAAGGTGAAAAATCAGGTACATGCAGAAAGCAGCTTTCCAGAAGCATAAATGAGTGATACAAAGAAAATACACTAACCAAGTTATCGAAGTGATCCTCACACATAACATTCTTCCCACCTCTAGAGAACTGCAGAGTTAAATACCGATTCTTTGGATAAACAATAGTACCAAACAACTTCATCTGGCCCTACACATCCAAAGAAAAAAATATTATTAGGTGATAAATAAAAAATTGAAACCCCAAACATCATTTTTGTCACTCTGAAAACAAAAGAACAAGAAAAAATATTGAAATTCTGAACTCCTTATTTTTCCGGTTGCCCTAGATAGAGTTGTAGACTTGTACAACGACTCAAGCAACTGGACACTTCAGCTTATACATGCATTGAACAACAAAACAGTTGTTCAAAATTTTCCAATTTCTTTTTTCTTTCATTCCCCTGCATCCGTCGATAACTAAACAAGGTGATGTCCTCAGTTTGATTTCAAACAACTATGGGTGTGTCAAAGTCATTGAATCGAAACTCAACTTTTTTATGAGACCCAAATAGTGAAAGAGCTTAACAAGTCAAGAATTCAAATTGTCGTCCATCTACATTTTCCTGGCGTCAAAACAAAGCAAAACCACCGGTCGAGTAAAGCTTTTAATTTCATTGGTCTCATTGTCCATCTTAACTTCCAATCAGAGATTTCCAAAACTTTAAAGAATTGACTCAAGGCTCAAGTGAGTCAAGTGTATATTTATCTCCACAATTTGAATGACAGTAAATGTATATGCTGTAAATCATGTCCTTTGTGATGTGCAGACCGAGAATTTATATCCACATAATCTTATTGATGGAGATAATGGCAGAATTCTACAAAGGTTTCAAACGCGAGGTAGGAATGCTTCCATGCTTAAGTCCTGATTTGGTATTTTGGATGAAGCAGGCTTACATGGGACCATGTATAATGTAGTCTTGAGTCTTTTTAAATCATATTTTAGGGTTTATTATGCTAGTTCTGTTTATATAAGTGTGTCATGTTTTTAGGAGTCAGGAATTCTATAAATTCCTGAATTTTCGGGAATGGGTCGCAGAACTGACCCATGGTAGCTGAGTTAGACTAGTAATACATTTTGAGTACATAAATTGGAGTCCTAAATTTATTTGGAAAAGGATATCTCTTGGAGTCTTATGCGTGTAATCTTTCATAATGAATGGAGATCATTTTTAGACAGGGAAAAAAATCAGAGCTTATAAAGCCTCTTTTAGGCTTGTATCATGAACACTAACCCTATGTATGACGCTCATAGGATTCCACAAGTGAATCCTAGTTTTCTTTTTCTTCTCCTTAATTCTTCTCATTTTTCTGCACCTCTTTACCAGCAAACACCATTTAAGCCTACTTTTGATTTCAAAAAACCCCCATCAACAAATTCAACCCTTTCTTCTCACACCCTTCGAGCCCAATCCATTTAGGACCCTCAATTCCAAAGTTCACGGGCTAGCGTTCACAGTTCTGAACAGCTTTCATCCGGGCACCAAAACCTATTTTTCATTTAATTCCAGACCTTCACCAATCAAAACTCTAATAAGCCTTGATTATTCTTGACCAAACCTAACCTGAAAAGCCAATACCTGCTATTAAATCTGTGTGGTGCTGCATCCCTCCAAATAAAAATAGTTTCCAACTTTCCATATCAAGGCACCAAAGGTAGCACACACGCTATTGAAGACAATATGTCAGTGGCCATTTGATTGAGAGGATGATGGATCCAGTAAAGTAGCAATGCATTCTGTCACATAACATTAGGAGGCGTGATTTGGGACAGATGTGGTTGATATACTATCTGCTCTGCTGGATCATATGTTGTGCCAGTCAACAACCCACAAAAAACAAAGTCTTCCTATTGGTTGCTGAAAAAACCCAGGGAAGCGAGGCATAACAGAATGAAAATTTAGATCATGATAGCCTAATGAATTAGGTTTTCAGATTATATTGCTTACGTTTTAGGGTTTCAAATGATTAGAGGTTTTAGTTTTCTAGAGTCCCAACTAAGTAGAAAATGCTATACATACTAAATATTCATATTTGCTTAGCCCACATTATCCTGAAAACTAAACAAACAAAGCAAAAACCCTCATACCGGCAGAGTTTCTCTTTCCACATTTTCAAATTTTCTTGGCAACAACAGACCAGTTACTAATTTCCTCTGACTTCCAATGACTGACAAAATAAGACGATAATATAGAAAAAAAAATGTATTCCAAATCCCAGAATCGGATTTTCCTAGCGACCGCAATAGATGAAAGAAATACAAGAACTTAGGGGAAAAAATGGCATACCTGAGGGAAATCAAGGTAGAGAATAGGGTTTTTGGTACCCAAATCTCTGAGCTCGCCGACCTTCCCACCGGAGATGGGAGCCAAAAGCCCCGGAAGTGAGAACATAAATCTGTTCCGGCGTTGAGACTTCCTGAGTATGTCTTTGCCGTGGTGTTTGATCACTGTTTTGGATGGACCCAGAGCAATTGAACTTGCTTTCGCAGGTGTTTCCGACAGTATGTTCTTCGAAAATGCTAGTTTCTTCAATCTTTTCCTCTCTTCAGCTTCTGGGTTAACTTCACTTGCTGCTGCTGACTTCTCTACCTTCTTCCCACCTCTAGCCATTCTCTCTCTCCCCTCTCTCTCTCTCTCTCTCTCTCTCTCTCGCAGCGTGCTTATGCTTGGGAAGGCGGGAATCTGTGAATAAATTCTTTCACTAAAAACGGGACTGGTTGCGAACTAAACCCAAATTAGCCGATACCGAGTTCTAGGATTATATATATTTTTTACTTTACTTCCTCACTTTTTTTTATATACATTGCAGTTAATTTTTTATATTTTAATTATTTTTTAAAATATCATTTTATATATTTTATAGGGAGTGAGGGCGAGAGAAGAAAGGAAAACACGACAAGAGAGGTTGGAAAGAAAGAGAGGACAGAAAAAAAATTATAAAATATTTATACAAATTACTACTGTGATATTTTATATTTAGAGTATTATTATAATAAAAAATTATTTTAGAGTATCTAAAAATATTATGTTGGAGTATGATTTTTGCGTTTAATTAGTTAAATTTTAATTATTTTTTATTTTAACATATTTTGTTGCATATCTTCTTAGCCTTTTGGCTCTTTTGCATGGGTATGCTTGATTCTCCTTCTTATTATTTTTTGTACTCAAATTTAAATTTAGGTAAAAAATGGCTAAAATATTTCTCCAATGCTAGACTCATACACATGTCAAATAAAAAAAAAAAAATTTAAACGCAAATCAAGAGAGAAAGCTAAATCTATACCCAAATTTTTAATGATAAAATTTCATCATCCTTTAAAGATGTAGTGATCATATATTTTGTCTTATCTTAAATTTAAGTTTGTTCTCGTCTAAATTTATATTTCTCTTCTTTTAAATTTTAGTTTCTCTATTTGAGGTGTCTATACTAAATCAAATTTTTTACTTTTTTTTTACTCAAATGTAGGTAATAGTTTGAGTTTCCTTCGGAGATGGTAGAAGGAATGATTGGAAAGTTAAAGGGATTAATTTTTCTTACAACTCATTAAAATCAATTCCTCAAAAATTAAGAGGAAAAAGTAATTTTTTTTTACAATAGATGAAAAGTTAATTATATCTATTAAAATGTATATTATTTATTTATATATATTTTAATATATGCATATATCATATTTATATATTATATTAAAGGTAACCCGTGCCTGAAGACACGGTAAGTAAGAAACGAAGGATTTTGGGAGAAAAAAATTCAATGTGAATAATTTTGATAGCGATGTTTGTGGTCGTTGGATGAGCCTATTTGAGACTGTTTGGTCGATTTATTAAAACATATTCTCTTTTATAATATAGATATTATGTGTACATTAAATTTATATATATATATATATATAATGATAAAATATGTATCTATTTTTTCATCATTTCACTTTTTCATTTTATCGAACACAAAAAAATCAATCATTCATACTTTTGATCCATCAATCAAACACGAATAAGAGAAGAAAAAATTATTCCCTTGAAGGATAAAAAGTGCGTCACCTCCAATTTTCATCATTTTATTTTTTCAATCACCCAACCAAAAACACCATTAATGCAGGTGGCTTGTCGAATGACGTCGTATGCCGAAGTCAAGGTGAGGATGTGCTTGGTTAAGCACTGTTGTTGTGCAATATGAATCTTTAAGGAATTGGTGGCATGTTGAACTTGGTGGTAAATTGTGGAAAATGCTAATTGTTGTGTGAGTAGTGGCAGTTTGATAAATAGGACATTATAACTTCCCGAGCATATGATATTTGTTGTTGTCACTTTAGTTTGCCTTTATAATCCTATTATATGAGAGTGTTTTGCAAAAGGGTGTATGGCCAATGACCCTTATGCCCCCTAGTATTGGCACACCAAAGTAAGACCAAGTCCCAATAATGTTTGTTATGGTTGGAAACAATACATGTAAGGTTCGAGGCCGCAAAAATATAAGATTGAGATACTAGTGGAATCTATAATTGTTTAAAGTTTCATGCATAATTGAGGGAGGCAACACATCATAGACACGTTGGACACAACAAAACAAGCAAGGCATAGTTGTGTGGGCTAATTGAGATGCATTACATGTTTGGAATACTAAGTCATGACCTGAGAAGAACTTGACATGCTGACGATAACTCAGATATTGTGGACTGAGAAATGACACAAGTGCTCACTGTGTGGACGATTTTGAGCATTTGGTGGTTGTGCCATGTTGCAGTTACGAAGGCACAACTGCTACAGCCATGCAAGACATTTCTAATTGGTTCAACAGCTTGGTGGTTTGTGAGAAAATCACTCCAGACCCTTGAGGGAGATATTTGATTAGTGTTAGCGTGTCGTAGCAATCAATGATGTCAATTGTATTGGCTAATTTGGTCAAGCTGTTGATGTCAACATTGCCTAGGCAATTGGGTTGTAATTGTCATTGAATGTTTAAATATTGATGCTAGGGTTTGCAGTCACCCAAGAAGCAAAGTGGGACATTTTGTGTAGGCTCTTAATTGAACTCCATGCACTTGTTGAGAAGTAAAAAGTTAGGACACTGTCTTATAACTCGCATACTTGCTTTTTTTTTTTATTATTTGTCCTTTTTGTGAGCCTCTTGTGTACATTTGACTAAGATTGAGCATAGAATATCGGACCATCACAAAGCAAACATTTGTGTATATTTTGACCCCCCGCAATAATTTGGATTGATCCAGTAGTGATGATGTGCATAATGGACTAACCATAAGGAGGTTAAGAGAATTTTGCTCAAAAACCAAAATTTCAAAAAAGCCTTTGGGAGTAAACTAGCTATTTATTTTGTATTTTTTAAGTTTGGACAAATATCACACAAAAGCTCATAACTTTTTTATCATTTCGAGTATAATTCCATGATGTGGGCTTGGGTTTGCGTTTAAGTTCGAGTTTTATTTGTCTAACTTTGGTCAGTTTAACATAATACTTTTTTTTATTAATAGGGTTCGAGGGGCAACTGGGGTGGAAACCTTTTATGGGAATGACAATAGCAGTCTAAACACAATAAGATACCCACTAGTGGGGTCTAGATGATAAAAACAGCAAGGGCTTGCAAAGGTCAAATTGAGCCATATCCTAACCCCCGCACCATAGAATTTTCGGTGGGAGCAACGGGAGAACCCATAAATCAAACCCTACGTACTAATCTGCCGAAAATTAGGGATAACTTTAAACGAGACACTGCGAACCACTTGACCACAAACCTGATGGTTTAGTATAACATAAAGTAAAAAGTATTATTGGTATTCAGGTTTGGATCCGAATCTGGGCGCCCATGGACGGGCAAGACCCCGATAAGATTGTTATAGATTTTTCAAAGTGGAAGACTCCACTTTGTTAGATTTCTATTTCTATTTGATGGGAATTACCACTATCCTGGGAGTTGTTGAAGGACGTTTATGGCGACTGTTCTTCAGTTGGTGCCGCCGAGTGTTCCTTCGAGTTGTTTATGTCAAAACAACCTCTTCGATAACGAAGGAAAAGATCATTGGAAAAATGCTAGGGTTCCTATTTCCCGTGATTCGCACTCCCTCAGATTCAGATATACAAGAAATCTATTATTGCGTGCCAGTCGCCGCCAATTGTACCCCACCGACAACGACTTTCGGGTCGTAAGCAACAGCAATGTCCAGACTCAGACTCAGTCTCAGTCTCAGTCTCAGTCTCGGACCGCCGTTGTTGAAATTCCCGTCACATGCTACCAGGTCTTCTTCTCTTTCTACATTTGCACACTCACATATTGACAATGTGGTTGATTTTGTTTGAGTAGTTTAGAGTTTTTTTGTTTGAATCGATTAGAGCTGTCTTGTAGTTTTGTTTGGTTCCTGAGAATATTGACGGTTGAGCTGAGCTTTGTGCACTCTACTGATTTTAGATTATGAGGAATAGGAGATATCTACTTTGAAACATTCTAGGGCTTTGTTTATTCTTGATTAATTACATTAGAGGGTTAATTGCACTTTTCACTTCAACAGTGCCACCTGATTTCCACTTTCCAGTAAGACTACACTCATAAAAAACAAGTTTCTTGCATCAAATCAATAGGGTTGTTGGATCCCCTAAACATCCGATACTTATATTTGTGCCGTATCATTTGGTGTTTGGCGCACATAGCATTTATGTTCTAATGTTTTTTTTGGTCAAACTTTGTCATTCAAATTTAGCATCGTGTTTAATGGGTCTAGTTGGTAATTGCAGTCAAATTTGGACAGAAAAGGCCATGTGCACACTACTTAAACTGGTATTCGTAAATAAAAAGTACTTGATTACACTTCCACATCAAGTATCATCTGATTCCCATTACGTCCTTGAAGTTTTTATTTTTTGATGGGGTTCAAAAATTACATTAGTTTTTGACATGGGTTTTGGTTTGTGAAGAAAAATTGAAGAGAGAGTTTTGATGGGAAGAGTAAAATAGGGAACTTTGATGAAGGCAAAGCTATCCAGTGGTTGTGGGCCAGTGGTGTGAGACGGTGATGTGATTAAATCGACACTAAATCTAAGGTGAAGGGATTAAACTGAAGCAAAAAAATTGAGGACCAAAGTGGGAATCAATTGATAATTTAAGTACAATGCTGTAATATTTGTTTTATGTTTCCAATCAATGCTCTTCATTTAGCATCGTGTTCGCAACACACGTCTTTTTTGGTCACAAAAGTTGAGTGTTTTTACCAATTGGACCAATTACATGCAACGGTCAAACTTCAAGGAAGAAATTGGAAAACAGGAAGTTTAAGGACCAAAATGGTAATCGGATTGTACTTCAACATTGAAAAGTATGGTTCCCCTGAGATTAAAATTAAGGGTTCTAGGCTCCTAGTTTTGGTTGATGGTTGCCATTGCTAGGTAAAAGCGCTGGTTAACAGCAAGTTGTGGGTTTGAATATGAGAGCAATCACCTTGTGCCAATAATACCCAAACTTGGGTCTGGATCCAATAATTTCATCTCAACATCCTCGATTCATAGGGGCCAAACTAGGTAATAACTCTTTCTCATTTTTTGTTGATGGCAAAATGGAGTAAACACACAAAAAAAAAAAAAACNTGCAGTTAATTTTTTATATTTTAATTATTTTTTAAAATATTATTTTATATA